ATGCCTAGCATATCGATGTTTATGCATTCCATTTCATTTTTGACAACTTCCAAATTTCCTAGATTCATCGTCATACAACTGGTTTTCCTCATTTTGAGTTGTACCCCATCAGCAACTGAAGGTCCTGAAAGCTTTAATCCATGGTCAGCTCAGTCATATTTTGAGTGCCTTCCAACCTGAGGAGCTCATCTTCTGGCACTGTGTTTGACTATATTCTGGTGCTCTTCATCGTGTTTCAGTACTCAATATTCGGTGCTTTCTGACAGTGTTCCACTGCTACTCATAAGGTTTTCAGTGACTTAATATTCGGAAGTCATTGGTCTCTCCTTCCTCCAAGTCTGTCTTCATCTGGCAGCTCATCTGAAGCCCGTCCACCGTGGGTGACCCCACTCGTAATAAAAATACCAGTAGCATAGCTTCCAGAATCAGAGCAACTTGCAAGTCACTACAGTGTGACACACTGACAGACGAGTGGTAGATGTTGACTACTGTCTTTATTCGGTGCCACTCCCGTGATTCATCTCAAGATGCCAAACCCACCATTGCCTTGCACCATCAGCTCAAACATGAATATAATGAAAAAGGCAAACGATGCCTTAGCATGATGACAATCATTCTGACTTTAGGGTCAGCAGTTCGAAACTACCAGCGGTTCCATAGGAGAAAGATGAGGCCTTCTGCTCCCATAAAGATTTACAGCTTCAGAAACCCTATGCAGGGTCAGTATGAGTCAGAACCGACTCCATGGTACTTAACAACAACAACATCTTAAAATGCTGTGTGGAGGAGATGACTTTTAAATAAATACTTTCATTCCTAGTTGTAATGTTCTCTCTCTCTTTCAGAGAATTAAGTATTGAGAATTGGATTATGCCTGCAGTGTATGCTGGTCATTTTTCGCACGTACTGTGGCTCCATCCTCCATGGGCTCAGCAAATGAAAGAGGGCAAACATCACTTTTTAGTAGGCAAAGACACGTCCACCACGACAATCAGGTATTTTTGTCGTTTTAAGTATGAGATTGGTTGAATGCTATTACTTTGCTTTGGATTCCTGTAATTACTTCACGACTGTCTGTGCATGTGAGTAGAAGCAAAGTAAGCCTCAGAGCCTCCAAAGAGAGTTCTGGAAACACCAGAACAGGTTCCAAGGGCTTGAGCAACTTCACAAGCCATTTGTACTTCCATGCTGGTCAAGTTCGCCTTTTGAGTAACATGATCTCTGTCTGCTGGAGTTCTGAGTCCATTGATGACTAACTCCATTGAATCATTGTTGTTACATTTTCAGTGATACATTTTGCTAGTTTCTTTCAATGTGACAATTGTTTGTTAAATTTAACAATCCAAAGTGAAAGAACGACGTTATCTCACTTTTGATATTTTTATCAATCACATAACTGAATAAATCTGTTTAGGGCTTTAATTTTATTACTATGATTGTTGTTGTGAAGTGCCATCAAGTCGATTCCCACTCCTAGCAACCCTGTAGAGGGTCCTTGCAGTTCAAACTGACCTTGCAGCGCAGTGCATTAACCCGCAGCGCCATGGTAGGTAGGCTGTGTCTGACTTCCTGTGAGTTTACTAGGCGGTAAAAGAATAAATCTCAAAATCATCCCAAGGCCACTTCCTATGAAGTGGAGGTCAGACATGTTCCCACCCTGCAACCTTCTTTACCCACTTCTGACACCAACCATCCCTCCCACAGCACTCTCGGCTTCACATCTGGGTTTGATGATCCATTGCAATGGCCACACAGACATCATAACAGTCCTCACGATTACGGGGTTTGTTAGGGACGTGAGCAGGGTACAATTCAGCATCAGAAACAACTCGGGGTGCAGCAATTGTCATCAGGAATGCCTCCTTTCTGCTGTACAGCAGGCCTGCCTCTCAGCCTGTGACCCCTCAACCTCTGCCCTGCTCTGACGAGTGTTACAAAGCTCTGGTAACCAGTCTGTAATGTGCAGAGGGCACATCGTGCAAGCTGACTCCTGCCCAGAGGCACTCAGCTGTATTGGTCCCTGGGCCTGAAGCCTGCAGCTGCTGTCTCTCCATACTGCCACGTCTGACCCTTTCCCAGGTCCAGGGATCGCACAGTCCATGCTCGGGTCTTCTGTCTTGATGGCCCTGGGATCATGTGCTCCTGCTCTGGAAATGGCTTCTTTTAAACCCAGCAGAGTAGCACAACTATCCATTCCCACCATTAGAGTTTTACCCACTCTTCTCTGCATGGTTCCTGCTGTAATCATTTGGTGGGAGTTAAAACTTAACTTTGGAAAGAAAAGCCTTATTAAGTAAATTCATGGTTGTTGTTAAGTACCCTCGAGTCAATCAATTCCAACTCATAGTGACCCTGTATAGGATATCTGAGGAGCAGCTGGTGGGTTTGAACTGCCCACCTTACGGTCCAGTGCATTATCCTGCAGTACCACACCAGGACTACAAATTCATGGTGCCACATACATATTTTTGGTGTATAAACTAACCAATGTTTTGTGTATCTTGTGATGATGTAAAACCTTTAGCAACATCAGAATATTCTTTACTTTCTAAGTTCTATTGCAATGAGAAAAAGTACATAGAACAAAATTTAAAATCATGAAAATAGCCACTGGTGGAACCCCGTAGACTGTGGCCCTTAGATTCCCATCAAGTCTGGAAATCAACCCACTCCCATAAATCAACTGCCTTGAAATACTAGCTAGGCTTCTGAGATGAGTAATAATGCCAGAGAGGAGTGCTCCTTGGGAAAATCCATCTATCATACAAAGTTGAAAGAATGGCATTTGCACAAAAACTAATGTCAGAAGTCATGAATGGTCAGAAAAAAAGAGGGAGTGGAAATGGGAAACGCACCGAGGAAAGGGTAAAGTGATACTACATTGAGGAGATTGCAACCAATGTCATGGAACAAAATATGTAGGAGTTTTTGAATGAATGACTAATGTGCTCTATAAACTTCATCCATACAACAATAAAAAAAATAAATAAATAAGTAAATGTTGCGAAGGGATGAATAGTTTCAGCATTTCACCATAACTTTCTAGAAGCTGAAGGATGGTGGGATGAAATGGTAATACACTGAATATGAAATATAACCTTTCTCATTAAAAATGGTCCTTTTTCTTTCTGATGAATTTTAATGAAACGATTAACATTGTTGTGTTATCTATTTATGCCAGCAGACAAGGTTGGCAGTTCAAACTTACCAGTTGCTCCTTGGAAACCCTATTCAGGGCCGCTGTGAGTTGGACCCAACTGTAGGACACTTAGCAACAGCATCATAGATGCTGAAAGGAGACAAGGACCTCTTTCCACGGCCGGTGTTCTAGATTTGAACTTGTAGCCTCCCAAACTGTGAGGCAATACATTTGTGTGTTAAAACCATCTGTCTGTGGTATTTCTGTTACAGCATACTAGGTGACTAAGACAACATGTATATTTATATGTATGTTGTTATTAAATGCCACTGAGTAGGTTCAGAATAGAACTTTTCCATAGGGTTTTCTTGACTGCGATCTGTCAAGATTCTTTGGCTGTAATCTTTATAGCCACCACTCATCCGTCAGCGTGTTGTACTGTGGGGATGGCAAAGCTAACCACTCCCCACATTAGAGTTTTATGCACCCCATTTGAATGGTCCCACCCAATCCCTGGGTGGTAGTTACAAAGACTTAAGAATATTTAATAATTCCCTTATGACAAAAGTATAGCTATTATCTAGAATACAGATTTAGATTGGATAATACAGTCTTTGTCTTTTTTAGGATGGTATAGTTTTTAATAAACGTTAGTATGAGTTTTTGTTCATGATTAATCTTTTTGGGAAATTGTGTCTTTTCTAAATGTGTTTGGGGAAGGGACAGGACATAAATAGTATCCACTCTCAGTGTGATAGAGCCTATCTCCTAGAGTCCTGGCGGGGCGGGTGCTGTGACCTAATGCAGCAGACTGCAGAGCCATTTCAACTGCAAGGCCAGTGGTTCAAGCTCACCAGCTGCTCCTTGGAAACCCTATACAGGGTCGCTATGGGTCGGGAGCGACTCGACAGCATTTAACACCAACTACATCTCTGGGATAAGCATTGGATTTCGCTGTTCAAAGTACTATACTTAACCAGGGCATAATACAGTTGAAAAGCTAAGAACATGATGATTTGTGTAAAATCAGAAACTTGTGAAATGTACGTGTGCATAATCCTTTTTTGAAGTCGCTATTCAGCGGAGTCCTGGTGTGGCGCTGTGGGTTAATGCGCCAGACTGCAAAGCCATTTGAACTGAAAGGTTGGTAGTTAGAGCTCACCAGTTGCTCCTCGGAAACCCTATACGGGGCCGTTATGGGTCGGAATCGACTCGATGGCACTTAACAACAACAACATTCATTGGTGTCGTTACGAATCGGGCTACTAATTTTACATTCACCAGTTCGAAACTGCCAACTGTTCCACGGGAGAAAGATGAAAGATGAGGCTTTCTGTTCCTGTAAAGATTTACAACCTCGGAAACCCTGTACAGGGTCACTCTGAGTCGGAACTGATTTCACAACACATAACAACAACAACAACATTCATATTAAAATTCTTCTGTTGTTGTTAATGCTCCCCAGTTGAGCTGGTTCTGACTCATCGCTACCCTGTATGGGATTTCCAAGAAGCTGCTGGTGGTAAAGTTTAAACTGCCAACCTTTGGGGTTCTCAGTCCAGTGCTGATCCTGAAACTGAAATATGTTAAAAGGTGTGTCTTAGGTATCTAGTAGTGCTGTAACAGAATTCTGAATTTTGTTTCAGATTGTCTGAATGGTGTGGCTTTAACAAAAAAAATTTTTTTTCCCTCACAGTTTAAGAGGCTAGAATTCTGAATTCAGCCAGCTCTGGGGCATGGCTTTCTATGTCTTCCCGTCTGGAGGAAGGACCTTGTCTCTCTGCCTTCTGCTGCTTGAGTCCTTGGTGATCTTCAGGCTGCATGGCATCTGTCTTCTCCCATTACTTTCTTCGTCTCTTCTTTTTACAATTCAGTGGTGATTGGAGTAAAACATTCTCTGCAATGGTGTGGTCTTTTAACATAACACAGAAAGCTCGAACCCATTGACCTCGCATTGCTGATTCCACCTGCTGTCCACCCAAAGGACAGAGTAGAACTACCCTCTAGGTTTCCAGGGCTGTACGTCTTTATAGAAAGAGACTGCCCCGTCTTTCTCCCAAGTAGCAGCTAGTGGGTTCAAACCTCTGACTCTTGAGTTATCGGCCCAACACATCAAATATTGTGGTTAGGATTTGCAACATGTATTTTTGGAGGCTACAGTTCAATTCATAAGAGGATACTTCTGTTAAGGAAAATGATTTCCAGATATAATTTGTGTCTTAAAAGTGTTGTTTTGGGTAAAGATTCGGCTGCTATGAGAAAGATTGAAGTAGCACTGGTTTAGCAGAATTACTTATGTCTGCCTCAGCTCTACAGTTTGAGAGTCCCTGGTGCCTTCTTATCTTTGCTCCACCACCTCTAAAGTGCTGCCCGTGTGTCACGGCCATGTCCACATTCTAGTCCTCAGAGAAGATGAGAGCATGGTTCTGTAATCTCTCTCCCATTCCCCATCGGGACCATATCCAGCTGCAAAGTATGCTGTGCCGTCTTACCTTGGCTTTGGGCTGCCCATGTGTGGATTGCTGTTTCTGTAGAGAAGCCAAACCCAGACTACCAAGCCTGCTGCCACCAAGTCAGCTCCAATTCATAGCAGCACCATAAAACAAAGTAGAAGTGCTCGTTACGGTTTCTGAGATGGTAAATCTTTATGGGAGCAGATAGCCGCATCTTTCTCCTACGGAGCGGCGGATGGGTTTTAACCACCGACATTGTGGTCAGCAGCTCAGCACTTAACCCACCACACCACCAGGGCTCCTTGTAGAAAACCAGGAGGTGCAAATATTAGAGACAACTCTCAGGTTTTATCATATATGTCCTTTTGTGTATTTCTACAATACTGTAGTGAAATGTTGGTTCATTTATTTATGTTTCCTAAAAAACATTTTTTTTCCTCTGATCCAGGGTCACAAGTACAGATCATTACTTCCTAAGTGATGGTCTGTATGTACCTGAAGACCAGCTAGAGAACCAAAAACCTTTACACTTGGATGTAGTTATGGTAAAAGCTTATGAATTCTGTCACAACCAGGAAGGAAATGGTACAGTATCATCTGCTAAGAAACCAAAGCTAGCACTGGAGGATGCAGGACACGCTGCCTCTCCCAACTGTGCCTCGTACTCAGAAGGACAGGAAAAGGGCCTAGTGACGCAGGAAAGAGGTCAAACCTGCCTGGAACCATCGTGTTCATGTCCCGAGGCTCAGGAGGGCCAGGCCGCAGCCAACACTGGAGACCTTCTGGAGATTTTCAAAAAAAGGGACACATTTGTTTTAGATATTGACTTAGATTTCTTTTCCGTCAAGAATCCATTCAAAGAAATGTTCGCTCAGGTAAGTATGGCATTTTAAAAATGTGGATCCTAAGAATTGAAATACACTTCTGTGGATCAGGGATTGGCATACTTTTTTACAAACAGCCAAATAGTAATTACTTGTGTTTAGGGGCCATATATATTCTTGCTCTCGTAATCTTTATTTTGTTTCTAAACCCTTTTAAAACTGTAAATTACTCGAGGGCCATATGAAAGCACTAAGTTTAGGTTTGTCAATTCCTCCTCTAGATACTATTCATTAGGATAATATGTACTTTGTTGTTGTTGTTGTTAGGTGCCATCGAGTTGGTACCAATTCATAGCGACCTTATGCATAGCAGAACGAAACACTGCCTGATCCTGGGCCAACCTCACTACTGTTGCCACGCAATATGTACATAGGTGGTTGAAAAGAACAGAATCATACCACACACAAATTTGTACACATTGAAAAGTAGTTTATTTTACTCCTATCTCCATTCCCTGCGTTCCTCTCCTCAAAAACTAATACCATGGCCACATCTGTTCTATGCATATAAAACCCTTTGTGACCAATTTCTCATTAACAGTGAGGTGGTTCATTGTACACGGCACTGTGATCGTCAGGGTACCTCAGCAGATCTGAAATGCACGGTCCACCTAAATTCAGTAGTTGACTGCTAGTGAAGCTGGTGGTGGATTTTGTACTTCATGGCCCTTGTTCTGTACATACGAGGGTAAGTCAAAAGAATATCAGTACAGTTCATGCATACACGTGTTCTTTCAAACAAAATGTGCTAAGCATGTTTGCAGTCAGTGGATGCATACAGACAAGTCATCAGAGTAACACAATGTCTTAGTCTCATTAGGGTGCCTTCAAAAAAAAAAGAAAGAAAGAAAAGGTCTAATCAAAACAGTGACTTGTAACGGGATCTGTTGGCCAAGTAAATTCAAGGCAGGGAGATCAGCTCAGAAGGTTAGGATGCCTGTTTTATGAGATTCCAAAGGTGTAATCTTGATAGGTTTTCTTAGAGGACCCAGGATGATCTGGGGACTTACCAAGATGTTTTAAGAAATTGGAAAACTGTATTGATGAGGAAAAGGACACAAAACTTGCACCAGGGAATTGCGTTCCATCGGAACAATGCCCCTGCTCATTCTTCATGCCTCACAAGAACTGTCCTGTGAGGATTTCCCTGGGGAACCTTTCCTCCTCCACTGTGCACTTGATCTGGCCCTTTCAGATTTCTTTCTGCTCTCCAGACTTAAAGAGCATTTAAAAGGAACACTATTTGAGTTCCTGAGGATGCCAAACTACCTTTTTGATGTGTGGATCAAAGAGGGCAGAATTTTCTTTAAAGGGTGAAAGTGTCGAGACCTGGACGGAGGATGTGTTGAGAAGCAATAGCTTCACAGCTTGATATTTAGGTTTAATAAAGGATTCTGTGATTTTATAGCAATACTTTTTACTTGCCCTCGTACATCAGAAACAATTGTGGTTTCAGCAGGGTCAGTTTGAATTGAAAGGTTGGTGGTTCAAACTCATGAGCTGCACCTTGTAAACCCTATGTAGGGTCGCTGTGATTCGGAATCGACTTGACAACGCTTAACAACAGCAACAGCTATTAGAAATATCTTCCATCTCATGGACACTATTATCATCATACCCAGCTGGGTAGTGTTGCGCTGAAAAAAATAATAGTATTTACAGCATTGTTGTCATCAAGTCAAATCTGACTTCTCGCGCTCCTTTATCACAGAGTAGGTCTGCCCCGTTGGGTTTTCTAAGCTGTGATCATTACGGGAGCACATCAACAAGTCTGCAGAGCCGATGGTGGGTTCAAACCACTGACCTTTCAGTGAGCAGCCAAACACTTAGCCATTGTACCACCAGTGAGCTTCCTAACATTTACACTAGACATTTAAAATGATATATTTTAGCTGATTCTCCCAAAATAACTTTAAATTACCTTAAACGTCCTTGTATCGGAGCCAAGTCTACGTTGTGTTTCACTTAAAGCTCATCATTATAAAAGGTTCATTTCTTCTCTGGGATGAGAATTGTTTTGTTTTCCAGGAAGAGTACAAAATCTTACAAGAGCTGTATCATTTTAAAAAGCCCGCTGCCAACCTAACAGAGGTATCCTTGATTTGTTTCTTTGCGGTTTTATCTATTTGTCTGTCATTTATATAATAATATCTTGTAGCTTATTTGAATGGTCTTAAAGAATTGTTGAAATACTTTGTGTATATTTATTGGAAAAGCCCTTGGTTAGAGTACTTGGCAATCACTTTGTAACTATTGAATCAAGATGTGTCTTGTCATGGGCTTTCATTTGCCTTTGGAACAAAAACGAACCGTATAACTGCAGCTTTTAAATGTGTTTTCCAAGGAAGATCTGGTAGACTGTGTTGATACTCGAATTCATCAGTTAGAAGATCTTGAGGCTGCCTTTGCTGATTTGTGTGATGGAGATGATGAAGACACTGTACAGAGATGGGCTTCAAACCCTGGGTGAGAAAACCCCAGACATTGTCCCTCTTATGCTATTAGCTTGCGAAGCTTGCTTGATAAATTGCTAAAAATAATCATCATCATCAATTTGTAGGAAATTTAACCTGTGTTTATTAGTAGTAGCTAACACTCTTGGTGTGGTGCTATAGGGTAAGTACTGGAGTGCTAACTGTAAAGTCAGTGGTTCAAACCCACCAGCCGCTCCTGAGAAACCCTGTACTGGGTCACTAGGAGTCAGAACTGACTCAACAGCACTGAACAACAATGAACACTTATTGAGTGTTTATTATATGCCCAGGGTACTTCTGAGGATTTAGTTTTCACTGACTCATTTATTTATTTTAAGATGATTATGGTTTCAGTGTTACAGCACCCGCTTCCCAGATGAGGAAACCCAGACACTAGGTTTGGTAAGCTGCCCAGAACCGTGTAGTAAAAGAGCAGGCTTTTATTCATTGTGCTGTAGCTGCCACATGTACAACTGTGAAAGCTAAAGCCTCTGAAAGGCAGAAACCTGTCAGCGAAGGGAAACACAAGTCCTCTCCACTAAAACTAATAGAAGGAAAGTGCTCCAACCGCGCCTGGACCTCGGTGGGCACCCCCTCCGTGGGAGACCTGGAAAAACAAAGCAGTCTGTTGAGTTCTGCCTCTCACAGGTTGCACTATATAAAACACGTGCTTCCTATGGCAGATGATGAAAGACGAGTAAGGTGGTGCCTGCTGTAAATAGAGTAAGAAGAAATGTTATCCAACCAATTGAAAAATAAATTGCCGTGGTAATACTGGTCTCTGCTACAAGTTCTAGAGTTGGTGTTCAGTCTCCTCATGACATGAGACAGCAGTATCTGAGCACTGGGTTTTTCATTAAGTCCTTCATTTGAACAGTTCTCTATTTGTTCACGTTTCCTGGAAAATATGGCACAAGAAGTCCTTTTAGAGTGTTATTTGTTGCTTTGGGATACTGGATTAAGAATGCATTTGGGGTAGTTGACATTCAGCTGGCCGTTGTGGGAAACGGGCTTTCCACCCTAGAACCATGGCCGAGTTTATCCGTAACCTGGTGGAGAAGGCTCCGGCGATGGTAAACGCTACTGTGATTTCCTCAAAGCCTCAACTGGCTACATTTCAGCATTATGTCAAGGTGGAGCTGGTTCCTCCAACCCCTGCTGAGATCTCTACAGCTATTCAGAGCCTGAGAAAAATAGTCAATAGTGCTTAAACTGGGCGCTTCAAACAGTTCACAGTTAAGGAAGCTCTGCTGAATCGTTTGGTGGCCACTGAGGTGTGGATACGGTTTCATATCAGCGAGATCATAGGCAAGCATGGCATCATTGGCTATGATGTTTGAAGACCAATCTTTACCCTCTGATTATATTTGGTTTACTGTTTGTTCTTGGACCATATGTGATCAGACTGCTCTCTGAATAAAATAGATAATTATGAAATTTTAAAAAAAGAAGAATGCATTTGGAATTGAAACTGACTTCAAAGGATTAGTTGTTGTTAAGTGCCGTTGAGTCGGTTCTGACCCATAGTGACCCTGTATAGGGTTTCCAAGGAGCAGCTGGTGCACTTGAACAACCGACCTTGCAGTTCATGGGCCATGCAAAATTATCAACTGAAACATTAGCCTGCTGTATTTGGTTGAACATTTAATTAACTCACTCCTAACATGAGTGGTGTTGGAGGAGAATACTAGAAGTGCAGCCAGAGTGCTCCTTGGAGGCCAGGATGGCTAAGCTT